CAGGCAAAACCAAAATATAAATATGATTTTACTAGCCCAGACTAGCAGTAGCAATGGGACAACCTACAAATCCTTTTCACTAGCAGTACATCCGCTTAGCATAATCATATAGCCTGGGTAGAGCGAAAATGCCACTCAACCAGTAATAACCTCTTCCCTGTCAACAATGTACTTTCAGGTTTCATTACTAAATTTAGCTAATAAAAAAACCTTCTGTTTTTTACAGTACTGGTTTTCTCCCTGCAGAGAAACACATTGATTTTAATCTGCATCCCTGCAGATTGACTTTAAATGGCACACTTATGCTCCTCCTACACTCTGCAACTATCGTTTAAATATCCATAAACACAGCATTTTTTATTTATATTTATTTGTGGCATAATCCCATTGAATTGTGTTTCTGCTTAAAATACGTAATTAAAGTTGATATATGCTGCCAACAGTAACAGGGAAGACGAGCCACTAATATAAAAAATAGAATTATGCACATTTTTGTCACTTTCACTTTTAGATGTTCCCAACAGCAATCCATAGATGAAATAGATTGTGCATTGATTCTGGCCTTACTTTTGACCCTCACATCCAGTCTGTTACCAAATCCTGTCGATTCCACTTTTAAAAAAACATAGCAGAATGCTACTAAGGAGCTTGTTCATGCTCTTGTAATTTCCGACACGGATTATTGTAACCCTCTCCTAACTGGTCTTCCCAGAAGTCGTATTGCCCCACTACAGTCTGTAATGAAAGCTACCGCCAGATTGATTTTACTCTCCAATCGGTCTTCTCACACCTCACCCCTTTGTCGGTTCTTATATTGGCTTCCTGTATCCTATAGGAGTCAATTCAAAGTACTAACCCATACCTATAAAGCATTTAACAATTCTAGCCCCTCTTATATCTCTTCACTGATCCTTCTGGATCTCTTCACTCTGCCCATGACCGTCTCCTGTCCGCTGCTTGCACCCATACGGCCAACTCACACTTGCAGGACTTCTCGTGGGTGGCTCCCTTCCTTTAGAATAGCCTGCCTACCGCCATCAGACCCTCCCATAGTCTTCAATCTTTAAGAAGTGCCTTAAAACCCATCTCTTTCGGAAAGCTTATGGCCTCCCAGAGTAACCTCTACCTTACATACCTGTTCCTTGCTCTCTCCTAAAGGACAGCACTCTACTCTCTCCTCCAGCTCTGCTTCACCCCTAATTTGATTTCTATCTCCTGTGTTATTGTGTTTTAAACCCCACCTCCTATAGACTGTAAGTTCCTTTGAGTAGGGTCATCTTTAACCTATTGTACCTGTAAGTTTTTGTAATTGTCTCACTTATTGTTAAATCTCCCCCTCTTCCTCATCATAAAGATCCACGGAATTTGTTGGCGCTATATAAATCCCAATAATAATATTAATAAAGTGGAAAAGTGATTGCTTTAAACTAATTAAAATGATGCAGTAAATATGTAATTAACATATGAATAATAATTAAAAAAACAAACAAACACAGCAGCCTTTGTATACATGTAGTCAGCATGCTTAAAGGACCACTCTAGGCACCCAGACCACTTCAGCTTAATGAAGTGGTCTGGGTGCCAGGTCCCTCTAGGATTAACCAATTTTTTAAATAAATATAGCAGTTTCAGAGAAACTGCTATGTTTATAAATGGGTTAATCCAGCCTCTAAAGCCTCTAGTGGCTGTCTCATTGACAGCCGCTAGAGGCGTTTGCATGCTTCTCGCTGTGAAAATCACAGTGAGAAGACGCCAGCGTCCATAGGAAAGCATTGTGAGACTGGCTGAATGTGCGCAGCTCCTGCCGCGCATGCGCATTCAGCCGAAGAGGAGGATCGGGTGGGGGCACCCTCAGGGCACTATAGTGCCAGGAAAACGAGTATGTTTTCCTGGCACTATAGTGGTCCTTTAACTACACATTACCTAGCCTAGTATGTTTGCATAGCTATACAGCTCACATGAGTTCACTCTTTTTCAAAAAATAATTATACATGTCATGTTTTCCCTCTTTGTCACTCCTCTGATCATTTCTCCTCGACATGTATGCCTTGCCTTGTATACCACAAAAAGAGAAATCAAACTGTTGAAACCTTGATTCTACTTAAACAAAAATGTGCCTGACTAGCAAATGTCACAACCTGTATTGTGAACTGAACTTTTATATACCTTGATACCGCTATTGTGGCGTACCAGGGCTGTTTGTTAATTTTGTGCACAACAAAAAAATAAAATAAAAAAAAACACAAACAAACTGTTTATCCAACATTGGAAGGGATGTCAGTGGGAGTCTGTTGGACAGGGAAGGGGACAGGGGATTACGATGCTTTTACAGTGTCACGGTGTGTGTCACTGGTCATGTAGCAAAGGGCTGCCCGTACCCTACTTCCTACCATCAAGAATACTTTCCAATCTGTCAGCCTGCTGGCTATGTGCAGTTCTAGTGATGCACTCTCGAAAAGGGTATAAAAGCCCTTTTTCCTCTAGTGGCTGTCTCATTGACAGCCGCTAGAGGGCTTCCGCGCTTCTCACTGTGATTTTCACAGTGAGAAGACGCCAGCGTCCATAGGAAAGCATTGAGAATGCTTTCCTATGGAGTGGCTGAATGCGCGCGCGGCTCCTGCCGCGCATGCGCATTCAGCCAAAGAAGTGGAGAGGAGGCAGGGAGGAGGAGAGCTCCCCGCCCGGCGCTGGAGAAAGAGGTAAGTTTAACCCCTTCCTCTCCATCCAGCCCGGCGGGATGGGGACCCTGAGGGTGGGGGCACCCTCAGGGCACTATAGTGCCAGGAAAACAAGTATGTTTTCCTGGCACTATAGTGGTCCTTTAACGTTTGGGAATGTTTTTAAGGTGCTCTTACATAATTTTTTTTAGATAAAATTGCTAAATCATCTTTCTAAACACTGTTGAGAGTTAGCAGTCACATGTAGAAGCCATCATTAGACTGGGTTTTCCAAGAATTGGCTTATCCCATGGTAGTGTGCCTGAATGTAACTTTATTTTTTTGTAAATTTCCCTGAGTGTAAATTATAAACACTGAAAGCTCGGGAGTCATAACTTTTCTAAGCAGGTCAGAGAAAAAGGGCAAGTGGTGTAGGTGATACAGATGAACCTTTTAGTTTTGGGACGAGAGCTTCCTTTTAACCTGGGTAAACATATTCTAAACATAATTGATACTTTTAATAGACTCCAGCACTAGATCATTCACATCATCATTTACGGTTTCATAAATCTGATCATCACACCCGTTTAGCTACTAGTAACTATGATTCATAGACCGAGAGCATTTATTGCATGAGTTGGTAGATCTGTTGATGAATAAGAGAAATTGTGCACGTCTCAGGTTTCTGGGAACTCCAATACTTGCGTGTAGAATATTGAGGAGTTTAGAAGCCTCTGAATGATTAGCATTTGTGTGTAGATAGCAATAAAGAAGGTGTGTGGGTGTGTACTTTGAACTTAGCAGGTGAAGGAATTGCTGTCGGTACAGCTCACAGGGCCTCACACATGGTAGGTTGTCATTCCTGCAAAAAAAAATGGAGAAGACAGCAGCTGAAAAGACAGGACCAGAAACGCTGAAAGCCAGTAGTGCGTTCTGTCGTGAACACATAATTTAGTGTTTGCTTACAATACTAGTCAAGGCTATTAATTATTCATTTGTGATGACAGGATTTCTTTAACGTATTGTCTGCATTTCAAAAGCATAAACCCTGTACTAATAAGTTTGTTCATTAATTTAAAGGTTTGGACTTTTCTTCTGAAGGTTATCAAAACCCCAGCGATATATTTAACTCCTTAAAGGGGCACTCCACTGTCTAAACACAAAATAAATACAAAATCACTGTTTAGTAGATATACTGCAAATGAAAACTTGCATGCATTTAATTATGCATGTTTTATTCATTGGAATATATCTAAAAACAGCTTGCAAAAGCTGCAGATCTCTTATCTGCTGCATTTACACGCCCTCCCCTGCTAACTCAGTCCAGAATTTCTGATGTGGGATTAATAGAGGTGTGGGGTTAATTTAGAAGTATTTACAATTAATATAGTAGGTGTGGGACAGCAGCAGATGTGTAATTTGAAATTGTCAATATAGGTTTATATAGTGCTTTGTATTCCTTCAAATATTTGGTGCCATCATTTGATAAATGGAATATGTTAAAGGAACATGAAGTCATTATAGTGCCTACAGTTGTTCTCCCCTCTCCCTATTGGACCCAACTCTAAATATTTTACTGATTAGAAGTCTTGGAAGGGTGGCTTCAAAGCAGGCCTCTAAGCCGTCTGGGTTTTAGAGCTGTGACTGTGCTTCCTGGCTATCATGAACTAACATACCTTGACGTCACATGTGTAGTCGCATAGCAGCAGATGTGTATTCCTAACACTATAGTGTTTCTTTAAGGTTTAGGTTTGGACATTGGATGTGGTGTTAGGAGAGGTTTAAGTCACTGTATGTGGTAAGTGCGATAACATTCTCCCTTGGGCTGCAGCCCCTGGCCATCTAGCAACACCAGGTCATCATGTCTTGTACACACTGCACATTAGGGATCGACCGATTATCGGTTTTACCGATATAACCGGCCGATATTCAGTATTTTCGACAATATCGTATTGGCCAATTCAGATACCGATATTGCCGATAATACCTCCTAGGACCGCCAGGCTCATTACAAGCCTGGCGGTCCTGGGGCGGCGGGCAGCAAGCGTTTACTCTCGCTGGCCGCTAGAGTTACACTGGGGAGCTGGAGGAGCTGCTGGGAGGTGAGTAAACGCTTGCTGCCCACCCCCCCCACAGCTCAGCCAATGCCACTGGACCACCAGGGACTGCTATATCCCCCTTCCCTGGCCAGGTACCAAGCAGGGAGGGGTGGGCAACAAAAATAAATAATAATAATTAAATATAAAAAATAAATAATTTTAAAAAAATGCCCCCTCACACACACACTCCATTATATACACATACACTACACAAACACACTGTGTATATAATGCAAAGTGTGTGTGTTTGTATAGTGTGTGTATATAATGCAGTGTGTTTGTGTAGTGTGTGTATATAATGCAGTGTGTTTATATCATGCACACTACACAAACACACTGCATTATATACACACACTATACAAACACACACACTCTGCATTATATACACACACACACTACACAAACACACTGTGTGTATAATGCAGTGTGTTTGTGTAGTGTGTTTATATAATGCAGTGTATGTATATAATGCAGTGTGTTTGTGTAGTGTGTTTATATAATGCAGTGTGTGTATATAATGCAGTGTGTTTGCATAGTGTGTTTATATAATGCACACTACACAAACACACTGCATTATATACACACACTATACAAACACACTCTGAATTATATAAACACACTACACAAACACACTGCATTATATACACACACTACATTATATACAACACACACACTACACAAAAACACACTGCATCCACTACACGCACACTACACAAACACACACAGCTCCACTGTCTAAACACACTGCATCCACTACACGTGGCATGTATATTTTGTGCATTTACCTTTAGAAATAGTTTTTATTTTCCAAAATGGTAAATGTACAGAATATCGGCAAATTATATCGGTTATCGGCCTGAAAGTTCACAGAATATCGGTATCGGTATCAGCTCTAAAAAATCAATATCGGTCGATCCCTACTGCACATTACTGACCGTTGTTTGCGTTGGAGCTCTGTGATATTCTAATACATACTGCATATCAATGTAACTTTATTGCAATGATGCTCTGTGATATTTTCATACACCATACCTCCCAATGTTGTGGAGATTGGGACGGGTAGGTGGGCCCTGAGGAAGGCACCGCTAGTGATAGGGCTCACATCACTTGCAACACCCATAAACGACTGTCCAAAAAAGGGACTGGCCTGTCCATTGAAGGGGTCTATCAGGCCAGACCATGCAAAGAGTGTTTCAGAAGCGTTTTCTGCATGGTCCTAGTGCCCTTCACTTCACAACCGTGTCTAATGATGCGGTTGCGGTTTGCTGCCCTCATCTGTTAATCCTTATTTGATGAAACCAGGGTACTATCTTTGGGCAGTATCCTGGTGTCACCACATGAGGGTCACGAGGGAACAGAATCAGGACAGTGGGACATGACCCTGAAATCGGGACTTTCCAGTTGCAATTTGGCCAATTTAAAGGCCTGTACATGCTGCATATCACTGTTAGATTTTTGAAGAGGAGTTTTGATCATCTCTTTCATCTACTGCAAGTTACTGTGAGTTTATTGCGGTGGAGCTCTGTGACATTTTCATACACACTGCATATCACTGTGAGTTTATTGTGGTGGAGCTCTGTTACCACCTACAAGGAGTAAATAAAAGTATTTAATTAGGACAGTGACAATTCACAATTTTACAAACAATTGTTTGTAAAAAAAAAAATCCAAAGTGTACTGTGAGAAAAAAAATAGATAAAATATATAAATAGTCAGGTGTGCTCAGACTGACTGCATTAAAGAAACTACTTAGCATGCTATCCCTACCTTTAGGGATAAATAAATAAAATATTTTACAGTGTGTAGTTCATTTTAAAGTGTGGTGACAAGTCCTCTTTCATTGCTCTGGAATGTCATGTGAGCCGTGTAATTAAGATTTGTGTTGTTTAAAGAACGAAGGTTCGTTTGTGGTCATGGTGTGAAAGCATGCTGGATGGATGGTTAGACTGCAGCTGTTGACACTGCCCACACATTTACATTTTCTGCGAAACACCCAAAATAACACGCGTGTCAGTCTGCTGTGTCCCTGCTGTTAACCTTAAATTAAAACTGTTTCTGAAACTTCATAAATTACAACTTCACAGAACCCATTCCATACAAACAGAATAAAAAAAAAAAATACAAAAAAAAATCTCATTTTTCTTTTATTGTAAAGAATGTAAAATGTGCATTAAACATTCAGCCAGAACATGTGTGACTCAGTCAGGGTAACGACCACATTATCAAAAAATGAAAAACTTCAAATATTCTAATTTATTGCTCTAAAAATAGTATTTATTTTCTAGTTATGTTGTATTCATATTTCAACATAGGCAGCATATTCTTGTAGTCTGTACATCTCTTAACAAGTGTGTGGTTCATTCTCGATTCCCATACTACCGGTATGTTTCATAATTAGTATTTTTTAGGTGCATTCTATTAAAAAAAAGTACTGTTGCAATATCCTGTGATGTAACAATAACAAGATGAGAAGGATCTCTCTGTCCCCTTACATTACACCACCAGGAATTGTTTGGAGACCACCATAAAAACGAAACAGGACAGGTACTTGTGTTTTCAAGTTACGTGTTCTCCAGTCATGTTGAACTGAATCAGGGTTCAAACTCAAGAAGATTATTTTTGTACAAAGTTGACATAATATAAGTGCTAAAGCCCTGACGTGCTCTGTAAGGACATGTCAAAATGAGAGAGAAGCTGAGAAGGCTACAACCTACACAAAACAAGAGACCTAAGTCCTCTGTGTCCAGATCAGATAGGGGACTGTCCCCATCACAACATCTTCCTCCCACAAGAGTTTACCTACAGCTGCCATCTGGCAAATGCATGCAGGACTACATTCTTGGGCTACATTCTTGTAGCACCACATGTCACTGGGTCATAAGAATCCAAATTCCAATCTGATACTGATTCCTGGTGGCAATATCTGAAACCCAGTCCCTTCTCTCCAGAGTGGACATCGCAAGAAGGTTTCCCATGATAGTTTGCTGCAGCTGCCAAGCATTCACCTTCTGGGTTTATAGTGTTTATTCCGTTATTATTATTATTATTATTATTATTATATTAAGCCTTTTCATTTTCTTTAATTGCTCAAAGCTTCACAATAGCTTAGTCTGTACCAGTGGAAATATTTATTGAGTTTGAAAGTACGTATTCTTCTTCTATTTTCTTTCATTAGTCTAAAAAAAGAGCTACCAATATAATTTTCGTAGAGCTGTGATGTTGTTTTGTAGTAGTTTGATATATGCTCCCTACTTATATCGGGGACAGAATGCTGGAGCTTCTATTCTACATTTTCCCCTCACTGTTGATAAAGAGGTGAGCAGCACAGGGGAGAATAAACTCTGTTTTGTGTGTGTGTTTGTGTTTAACTGCTTATGTTTCTATATATTGGTGTGAGAATTGGATAATTATGTATGTGTATATATTAGTGTCTCTTTATGCGTGTGTATGAATGTGAGGGTCTAGTTCTGTGTGTGATATCAGAGTTTTTCACTAACAGGAGAGTTCCACAGAATGCAAAAGAATTCAAAGAATTTCAAATTTGAGGTCAAGAATAGCTGAATTGGATAATTACTCCCGGTATCTAATGCTTTCAGTTTGTCTACTTTTTAGTTTAACTTGAAATACACTTTAAATTCCCTGCAACGTTGTGTGTATTTGTAAATACAATATGCTTTGTTTGTGTAATAGTATGACTAATTAAGAGTTTGCTTGTGTCACCCAGTAATGAAAATTGTCCTTGGCTCTTTGCAATTGGCTCTAACTCCAGGATTCCAGGGAAAGTTGTCAAAGTCTGGACTTACACTGTCAGATGTGGGATAGTGTTAATGGAGAGGTATGCTATCCTTGGCATGTGACATCGACCTGTCATTTTAATGGTACATAGTGAACTAACCTGTTTTAGCATACTGCTTTGTGACTGTACAATCAAAGCCTTATGCAAACTTTTCCCTCCTCGTAACTACGCTTTAAGGATCCTCTACAAGGCTTTTAATGTCATGCTTTCCCGTGTGTAATTGTTTGGCTACAGGAACAATATGTCCTTTGTTCTAACGCAATTTTACTGTAGGCCAAAACGGTGTCAAGTATTGTGTCTCTGTGACCTGGTATCGATGTGCAGATCATCAGATGAAGGGTTTTCTGTTTTGTTTTGTTTCTTTTGAGGATAGAAGAATCTTACCCATCTGTATCGCTTCTCAGTTACATGCATTCATTACGTTGTCTTACCCACTATAAAGAGATGGCAGGGACTCTGCCACACTGCAGCAAAGCACACAGAGATAGATCAGTTGAAACAGGGAATTTTCCTGGTAGAATTGTGCCTTAAAGGTCAGCGAACATGGAGAAGAATCCAATTTTAATGAGTTTTTGTTCTGAGGCTCAATGTGAGCAAGGATTAACATTCTGTGATGTATGTTCACTACTTCCACATTGTTGTTCAGTGCCCCTGGTAGCAGGGCTCGTTGGTTGGTCCTCTGTACTTTCGATATGGTTCATTCTTGCTGGGAGTGCTTAAATCCTCACAGCTTGCCAAAATTCAGAGGAACAAAGTCGACTGGCCCTTTTTTGACTTCTTTGTGCGGAAGGATTTAAAAATAGCATGCAAGATATATTGTACAAAGGATCTTTGAAACTATGCTAAATATAAAGCAGTAAAGATCTAAAACCCAATATTTGGGTGTTCTTTGCTTTTGAAGAAAAATGCCCAACGCAGCAATGCTGAGCATCTATAGATTTTTAAAATTAAGTTTAATTGGTAACAAACTTTGACCAGTGTGTTCATCCTTCCACAGAAAGCACAAGGTTTTGAACTTCAACAAATAGCGCATTGAAGCGCATTGAACACACGGAGGCGTGTTCAACAAATAACACCCCTTGGTGTGCTTTAAAATGTTTCTTTGGGAAACTTACCAGTATTTAATGTAGTAATGGCGAGCCTTGTCACTGATGTTTATACATCGCACGTCCTGTGATGCTCAATTGGTGTGCATACTGGTTGAGCGTAATGTCTGCAGATTGTCGGGGTCCTGTGGTGTAAATAACCGTTCTACTGAATACAGATGGTATAAAAAAATAGCCCATCCCCACTGCTGCAGCCCTCATAATGTGCATGATACATGTCACATTATTACACGTGAATCTGAACTGACTCCCACTCCCCCACTTCGTATTACTTCTTATATTTACCAATATCGCAACGTCATCCATAACCTGCCACATCTTCGACCTCGCTGGTAATGCGGAAAATAAACTCAGGAGTCTGTTCAACCTTGGATGGTAAAACCAAGGTGGAAGTGTCATTTTCATGGTTTCTGTGCACTTGATGTTTAGTGACATCACCAAAAAATTTTAATTGGTATCACAACAATATAATAT